TGTAAAATGCTGAACCTGTGGTGGCTGGAGAAATTATCCCTGTGGTAACTGCTGTTCCTGGAAGTGGCTGACATGTCCCTGCAGCTTGAGAGGCAGAGCAAGGGGTTGCCACATACTGTCCTTGCCGGCAGGCACCACTCCTGAAGCTCCCATTGAGCAACAATAGGGAACCATTACCTGTAGAAGCTGTCAGCTCAGTGCCTGTAGATATGGGGCAGCACATGGCACCATGGAACCTTTACTGTACATGGCAGCTGCCTTCAGGAGTGGTGCAGGGCCAGGACAGAAGTAAGCCTGCCTTAACCCCACTGCTCCACCACCTGAAAGTTGTCTCAGTTAAATGATGCCCAGCCAGAGCCTGCTTCCTGAACCTGTCCCTTGCCTTGAACCTCCTCCTATATGCAATCTCCTGCCCTAGACATGAGTCCCCCTATACCCAAACTCCTTCCCAGAGCTTGCACCCTGAAATCCTTCCTGGACCACTGAATTAAAGAGTTAATTGATTCAAGACAGCATGTTCTCCAACTCCAGATCCCCCCGCCCCCCAATGTTAAATCAGAGAACCTTGTCTATACAAAAAATAGAAATTATCTGGAAGGAAGTTACAGAAACTGATACTACCCTAGATGGATGGATGGTACCTAACTTGATTTCCTTTTACTTCTGGTAAGACACTGTAGCAGTTTCTTTAAAACAGTTCAAAGATTCAGTGAGCTGCTCTACTTTCAGAGATTTGGTAGACTTCTTTCCTGCTTTGACTTAAAAAAAAAAAAGTTTCTTTGTACTGCAAAGGCCATAACCTTCCAGTAAGCAGAAAAGACTGCTGGCTAAGAAATCTAATGAAATCTCTCATATGAGGTTAGTAGAGTTCGGGGGAGAAGGGAGGTCATTTTCAGACTGTAACACTTGTGAAGTTGAAATCTGTTCTATTTTGAAGTTACAGTCTCCCTACTTCCCTCCCTCCTCTCTACGCATTTTGAGTAGAACTGTTCACTTGCCCAGAATAACCCATGGCTACTGGATGGATGGTTGGTTTTTGGAAACCGAAGAACGAAAGCACTAAATGGATTCAAAAAACAATTCTCAGACTTCAAATCCACCCATTCCTCGGTTAACATAGCTTCTTTAGCTTAATGGATTCTAAACAGAGATAGCTTCACAGATATCATTACTGTTATAATCTAACTTCATAGGAAGGTCTACACTAGAGATGCCATAGGAAGGTCTACACTAGAGATGCCAATGGGTAACCGCTTACCTGCTAAGCATTAATCTTAACAGGTTAACTGTTTCCCAGCAGCAACCCCATATCCCACAGGCTGGGATTCAGCAGCCTTCTCCCCTCCACTCCCCACTGCTGCTTCTAACCCACACGGGCTGCGGGCCAGCAGCCCAGTAAGGGACTAGAAGCAACCAGGCTGCAGCAGCTCCTGTCCACAGTATAGGAGCTGCTCCAGCCCTGTGTGGCCGGACAGGGGAGGGGGAAGGCACTCCAGTCCAGTGTGCTGGAGCAGTCCCACCCCACTCACCCCTATTTAACCAGTTAACCAATTAAGCAGAATTTTACTAAACTTAAATTGTCATAACCAAGACAGCATAACTACTCTAGCCCAGGAGACTAACTGCACTTCTGTACCTTGAATTTCTGAGGTTGTGCCAACTGAACTGTAGCAGCACTTTGATTTGCTGCAGAGGGAGCGCACGGCTCTTACAGCCCATGTTCTAGGCAATCAGCACACAAGTCACCAGCTCTTGCTTCACATAAGTGTCACTATTACTGCTAAGAAAAAAAATACATGCATGGAAACCAATGGAGTCTTGCAATGTGAATGGGCAACAAAATAAAATATCTTACAGGCCACACATAGAATCCCAATAGGCCTCATGTAGCCCACAGGCTGCCCATCATCAGAATAGAATATCCACTGTGAATAATGTTTTGAAAATTGAATTTAAAAAGAAAACACTTAACTACCAGAAAGAAATCATCCATTAGGCATAGGAGTATTACAACATGGACCCTTGTTACGTGGGAGAAATGTTGCAAAGTGATCCTTGGCGAACCAGTCCCTGTGGAGGAGATTTACCTGCAATAGCGAAGTCTCCTCCTCAGCTTACCAGCTCTTGCCCACCCAGCTCCCGGGGAAGAGGTGGTTTTGCTGATCTGATGCAGCAAAACCGCATCCCTGGCTGATTTTAACCAACACCATTAACCAATAAGCATCAGGCTTATCAGTTAAATGGTTAGTCAGTTATAATTTAACACCTACATTCTGTACCTAAATCTCTTTCTCTAAAGCCAATACAATACACATTCATATGACAAGAACCATTCCCTATGACCTACACTCTTGAGTCACAATTTTAAACAAGAACTCCTAAAATAAAAGCAACAGCTATGTAGTATTAGCAACGGCATTCTCAAAGTGCTATAACTTTTCCTTTAAGGACTATTTTCTTATGACCATAGCCTGAAAGATGCCTAGTAAAAGGAACAACGAAAGCTGACCAAAGTTTCAGTAATCACTCAAGAAATGCAACAACAGCCTATTTCTGACCAGTCAGGGATGCTAAGCATACAGTGAAACTGACTAAGCTGCAGGGCATTACAAAAATGAAACAGGTAAGAGAGAATATTGGCCAACTGAGAACCCCTTCTTAGAAAAGAGGCAGAGGGACTGTAGGGATAAGACAACATTGGCTTCCCAGAAGCAGAGACTGGAGAAAAAGCTCCCTTCCAGTAGGCATATAAAATCCCATTTAAAATGTTAAACTATGTTTAACTAGTTAACCAGCCTGCTACATCATGCCATAGATGGGGAAAGGAAGGGGCAGCTGGCAGGGGGCAGTTAACAGGTTACCCCAGTAAGCATGCCAATAAGAAAAGGTTACTGGTTAACCCTACTTTTCCAATATTGGGTCATCCACCAATAGGTAGGATGAACACTTTTACAGAAAGCCAGATTCCCCTTCCAGAATTCAGGTTAACAGGGCTTTTTAACACATGTTCCGGAAAATGGTTTTGAAGATATACACCACGCCTTATCATCATCATCATCATCATCAATACTGGCATTGGTCAGTAGATGACTGGTAAATTTGAGTTTTTCAGCAAAATGGTTTCACGTTAAAGGAAAAAAGGTGCTGCAACAAATGCATCCTAAAATCACTTTGGGAGACCACTGCTACAGCTTGCACTTAAATTTTAACAATTGTACCCCTTTTAGCAATTAACACACAACCCCTTCTGCACAACTGAATAAGCTTCTCTACTCTAGGACTGTGGTGTCAATCAGTTACAGCGAACCAGCCACACTCAACTGACCAAACAGCTACATTTGGCTAGCACCTAGTATGTTGGACACCGAGGCTCCAGGATGAGAAAACAAGTTTTTATAGTTACAGACTTAACAAGTAGTCCTGTGGCACCTCAGAGACTAACAAAAAATATATAGAGAATTATCAAGCTTTCATTGGAAAAACCAAAGGTCCTGCTTGCTCAGCTCCGACTGCAGCCTTTCAGGTGGCCTGCTGCCCAGCCCAAGGGGCTGCTCTGGCAGGTATGAGGCCCAAGGCACAGCCCACTCATGCCAGGAATGGAAGCAGGACCTGGCTAGGCCTGTCCTGCCCAGCACAACCCGTGTTTGGAATGCTATGGGAATGCCACACCACAGGTCTCCCCTGAGCAAGCAGTTCTGACGTGTGCCAGTGAGCTGGGCCAAACCTCTGGCTCAGGCATGCTCTCCTGAGCTCACTGAAAGCTGGGAAGGTCTTGGCCACACAGCACACACAACCCTTTGGGGACGGCACAATTATGCTGAACCCAGCCACTTTCCCAGCTCTGGGGAACGACCACTGAGCGCTCTGAGCTCCCCAGGCTCACCACAGAGCAAAGCTGCCCCAGAGGCCATTCACACAGCATTATACAAGCCCCAGTAGGACCCTTTGGAAAGGCTGGGCTGACTTGAGGCTGAGTGCAGAGTTTGACAAAACAGCTTCCTCACTCCTGCCCCTCCACCCAGCCCCCTCACTCACCAGCTTCAGCTTAGCCCTCTCCCTGCCCATCCCGCATCAGGGAGACCACGCTGGTGCTCCAGCCTCACACCTCCCCACACCCTGTGAGGTTGAAGCACCAGCTTCCTGACCCGGGGAGGGAGGGGGAGAAGGAGGAGGGGAAGGGGGAGAACACGAGGTTCCCCGCCAAATCCAACTTGTGCAGAAGAATCGGCTATGCGTGCAGCCACTTCCCTTGCCCCCCATCCCTGAGGGAACAGCAGCACAGGGACACACTTCAAACAGGCTTTTCCTGCTGCTTGGCAAGGTGGTGAGGAGGGTGGGGGTGCAAAGTCTCGGTGGAGGGGTCTCAGCTGGGGAAGGCGGGGGGGGCGAGGCTGGAGCACCACCACAGGTTCCCAGTGCAGCCCCCTCACTCACCACCATGCTGAGACCCACCCTAAGCCGAGACGCCCCCAGCCTCTAAGGCAGGGGTAGGGAACCTTTTTTGGGTCAGGAACTGCTGACCCATAGGAAAAAAAGCCAGTCATCCCCCCCACCCCACGAGAGAATTAAAAACAAAACAAAACCCTCACTGATGTAGCCTCTAACTGAGAAGCAGAAAGGCACTCCCCACATTCTCTTCACACAGCAGAGCCCAGGGGAACCCAGCTAGTATACTGTGTGCGCTCCAGTCCTGCAGTAGGCTAGAGCTCCAGCATGGGATCCCCAGTGCTGGGGGAGGAGGGCAGGGCAGGGGAGCCTTGAGCCTCGGGGCCAAATCCCGGCAAGCTAGGGGCCACATCCAGCCCTTAGGTTCCCTAACCCTACTCTAAGGTGTCACAGGACTTATTGTTTTTACTCCAGTATATTAGCTACACTTCCTTTCTGGTTACACTAGTAGTGAAGGTAGCACCAAAATAAACCATGAAGCTTCGCAAAGGTATGTTCCTCTTTAAGGATTCCCACCCATCTTTAGGAAAGAAATATTGAAAGGTTAGTGTTACCATGCAGAGCTATGGCTTCACGGAAGGGCTGCAAATCAGTCTCTACAGATGAGCTAGTTTCTGTTGAAGTAGCTCGATTAGGGGATACTACAGTCAATCTTGGGGGAGCTCTAGAGTTTCGTGGAGGAGGAACTTTTCCACATAGGAAGCTGATCAAATCTTCTCTACGGATAGTTCTTCTGCGTTTTTTAACCCAAGCTAACACATCCTTATTACGACGCTGATAGCCAATTTGAATTCCTACATCAAAGCTTCGTTGATGGGCATCCACACTTTCTGGAAAAAAAAAGAAAATATTCTTAATAAGTGTTGCATCGGAAACAGAATATTTTATTGCTTGTACATTCATGAGTGTTACAGTGAGTCTAATTTCATAAGAATTAAATTGCAAAAAACCACAGCCAAGTTCTCCCCCTCATATTGGGGTTCAAACTAACACTTCAAGAGAAACAACCAAGACCAAAACTGTGATATACATGAGCTTGAAAGTAGTCTCTGTAAAGGACAATTTATATCTTTATATATTAATAAAGATGTACACAGGGATGGTCTCTTTTCTATGTTTGTATAAGACTCAACACTGCAGCTCCCAAGCCAAATTTTGAGATTACGGTGCTACCAGAAGTATTTGCTATAAATGAGGCCTGATTACATTTTGGTTTTAATATGTTGAAAAGAGTTGGGTTTAAACTAAAACATTGTCTATGGTATTTCAGGTAAGTACTTAATAAAAGAACATTTGAAGTGATTGTCAAATCTTAAGTCAATTTAACACATTTAAGAGTAGTTTGTGGCATTGCATGTAAACAAGATGCCTAATGAGTTTTGGTGTTTTATGCTCCCTTTTAAGTTATTCTCTTCCACTGTGTGCAAGAATATCCAGACAATGAGGGAAACAAGCTACATACAAAGCACTGTCAAACAAAGTCTCTTGTGCTGCTCCAAGTAAACAATTTCCATGTATGATTTCTTTAGAAAGCATCTCTTGAATTCAAGGTAGCCATGCATAACTAGTCCTTTAGAAATGTCCCAAGTTTTGGTTTTTGTTTCCTGGGGAAAATCTTGAATTATTCCATCTTATAAAGTACAGATTGAACCTCTCTAGTCAGGCAACATCCATAGTCTGGCATGGTTTTTAGTTAGCCAGATTTCTAACTAAATCATGGGTGTGGTCAAGTATCCCATACTGTTTACAGCCACCAGTCCTAGTTCCCAGTGTTCTGTGCATTATTTAACTCTAACCCCCAAATGTCTTCTGAGAGTTCAGAAAGCCAAGTATAAGTTTAATGAACAAAACCTTAGGCTAGAACTCACTCAGGTGTTAGTTCTTCTATGAAGTTGAAATTGATGAATAAGTGAAATTCACAGGGTGACAATTCTAGTAGATCCTTTTGAATTATTTGAGCCACTTTAAAGGAGCTTCTAACAACTCTGACTAGTCTAAGAACTCCGTCAGCATGTTACTAAAAATCAGTCACATTTTGTGTAGGACATACAATGTTCTGTACTCATTCATTGTGCTCGTTCTAGTTCTTCTCAGAACTTTGCCAACAGTGATTTCACCAGAAGAACAAGTAAATAAGGCAACCATTAACAAAGATATTAGATTAAATACGGTAAAGTTCACTTCAGTATCCTTTACTTAATCTTTCAGTGAAAATACATTTAAGAACTTGCATTGTTCCTTAAAGGAGTGTTTCAGAGGTGTTCTTCCTCTGATTGGGGAAACAGGAATGGACAAAGAGCCCTATGACTAAACCGTGTGAATAGCAGCTCAATACTTAATTATTTGAATAATTTATAGTTTTCCCACTGAAACAGTGGTATAAATAAGTATCTGTAAGCCAGCTTCCGAACTAATTTTTACATGTAATATACAAAAATCTAACCAAGTGAAGTTGTAATGTAGCCATATAACGTGAGAGTCAAGATCAGCTGAGCAATTATTTGAGATTTTAAACATCTGGTGTTTATTCTGATCATAGTACAGAACACCTCAGCCATCAAAAGTTTAAAAATAAGCAGCACTTCAAACAGCTACATTAAAACTTTACACTAAAGTGCATTGATAAAACAAATTTAGAATTCCACATAGTTCACAATAAAACTATTAAAAGCGATAAACCTATGAAAGATTATTCCTTATTAATAATTGAGGTCCAGGGCTAGCAGTTATTCAAACATTCAATTCACCACTGATAAAAGAAACACCAAAAAAGTTTAGTGCGAGAAACCAAATTCTCTCATTTTACCATGTGCAATCTGTATTTTGCCTGGTCATTAAATCAATATAAATACTGTGGTTATCACACCGATAAAGAAACATTTTAGAAGACTAAGAAAATATGAGATTTATAAAAGCTGTTGGAAAGACTCATGCATATGTACTTAAGGAAGCTACTAAGAGCTCTAAATTTATGACAGTGTTCCTTTAGTTGCTTGCCCAGATCACTTTAAAAACAGAGAATAGGACAGAACAGAGTTCACAGAACACCACTAACATTAAGTGCCATCTACACTATGAAAGGTATCTATTGCTGGAATAAACTCCAATCATATGGTGCTGAAGACAATCTGGCTGTTACAATAGGTGGGGCATGACTTGTCGTCATTAAGAAAAAAATGTTTTTATAATAGTTTTAACAGCTGATCTAAGTCAGTCCTACACTCCCAAGGTTTATCTCCTCACACTAAGACTACAAATAACTAGAACTGTGTTAAAACTAAAATTGGATTGTCTCAACTAATATACTGAGCATATTCCTTTTACTTGGTCAAATCATGGACCACAAGATTTCTAGACATCATATTCCAACAGGTCTCTAGCAATTTCTGGAACGGTACTGAAGTGCTGTCCTCTCTGAACAAGAAGCCAAACAACGTTCAGGGCAAACAGAGTAGGGCCTGGAGGACAGTGAGCAATGGCCCATTTTCTTTGCTTAGATGAATATTTTGTCAGATCTAAAAAAACAAAAATGCTCTGTGTCCTCCAGTGCTGCGAATGATTGGAAATATTTTGTGGAGAGTGATTAAATGCTAAGAGTTGATTCAAGTTTAAATTTGAAAACTATAAGCAGATTAATTGAGGTGCAAAGGGAAAAAAAATGAACAGACTCCAAGCATTTTAATGCTTATTCAGATCTCATTAGGACCATACCTTGTCAGAATTTCTCTCTAAATGCCAGTAGTCTGATACCAAGTTTAAAAAATGGCTTTAAGTATATTTAACAGATGTTCCTGATATAGGCAGTTTGAGATACATGATTCATTACACAATATTCCTCTGACTTTTTTGGAGTTTCATATGAAACACGCTGCCTCCCGCACCTTTAATAGTAACCATAATGAACTAAGTTTTAAAAGAACAAGAATATTTAGGTCTTTTTAGTATTAAATCAGGGTAACACTGGTAGTTTTCCTAGTGCATAGCTTTATTCAGAGGGATTCTACCCACTTGAAATGTAGGCAATTTAATGTAGTCTGTTAAAGAGACAGTAGTTTTAAATGACTAAAACATGCAGACCATGTGTGCCATTCTACAAGCCTATTTTCCTTTGACTTTTTCCTCCTGTCTCAGATAGTCCTGTACTATGCTTTCTTAAGTTCAGATCGAGCTAGCTACATTATTCAGAGGTGTTAAAAATCCATCCTCCCGCCCCTGAAGCATGGCAGAAAGACCACCCTAATTCCTAATGTATACACCACCAGGCCTATAAGAAAATTCTTTAGTTGCTCTTGCTACTGTTGTTCAGGGAGGTCAATCATCAACACTGATGTTAAAACCCCTTCCATGAACACAGTAATCATATGGTGCTACAGAACCCATAACATAAACATAGCTGCAACCAATTAGACTTTTGAGGAAATAGTAAAAACAACTTTGAACAAAGGCTGTGAAATACACAAGTGACTATAAGACTCCATGAGTTCCAGTGTTTTCCATAAAAGAAAGCACGTAAGTTCTCAGAGGCGTGTAATTTAATAACTACAGGCAGTCCCCGGGTTACGTACAAGATAGGGACTGTAGGTTTGTTCTTAAGTTGAATTTGTATGTAAGTCGGAACTGGTACATATTGTAGGAGAAACTGCGGGGGGGGGGGGGGAGGCGCTAGCTTCGCGTCTCCCTGGTCTGCTGGAGGGAAGCAGCTAGTGCAGGGTTGCCTCACCGCGTTTGTAAGTAGGGATCCGATGTAAGTCGGATCCATGTAATCCAGGGACTGCCTGTATTCTTTTAAGTTATCTTGTTCATATGAGAGCCAGTTCATTTTAACATTGTGACAGTGTATTTTCAAGTTACTCCATTATATAAATGCATAGCATTGTTCTGCCATGTTTATTTTTTCTTGCAAAAAACTTGAAATAAAATTGTTTACCTTAACCCAAGCAGTCCTTCATAAAAAGGAGGTGGTGCTCTGAACAATCAATCAGTAAGATTCCAGATCAAAATATATGTTCTCACCAGATTATAGTTTTGAGTTACACAACAGTTCCTACTTATGTAGCAATAGATGCCCAATAGAAGTGCTGTTGTAGTTTGACTTATCAAGGAACTAGGGGCTGATTACCACTTAAAAGCTGTCATGTCAAAGCCTTGGATTAATGTATCTGGCTATTCCTTCAGGCCTACATTCCTTTTGGAGAATTATAACAATGTTTAAATTATAACACAGCAGAAGTTACAGTCTCCATTTCACTAACATTTCATAGCTGGTCAACTGTAAATACAGAGGCAGATGTCCAGTATGCATTTTTCCATAAAAGAAGCAAGTCTCTAATGTAATGGTTACATATCTACCGTCTCCTCCCCATTACTGATGAAAAGCCCAATCTGTTACCATAGTGATAGAAATGTAGCCGTGTTAGTCTGGGGTAGTTGAAGTTCATTTTTTTAAATTGTATCCTTTGGTATATATGGTTGTGACTACTTTCTTCCACTATTTGATCTGAGGAAGTGGGTCTGGCCCACGAAAGCTCATCATCTAATAAACCATCTTGTTAGTCTTTAAAGTGCTACATTGTCCTGCATTTTGCTTCAATCTGTTACCAGAAATACTACACTGCTATACTCAATTCAGTCATTTAAAACCAATCCATGGATTGGCCTATCAGCCAAGTGCTAACTATCAAAGATTAAGCTTTCACCTATTTGGTTCCATTTAGAATTCTAGACATGGAGAATCAGATACTCAGCTAAACAAAAGTCACACAAACTCAATCAAAAGAGTAGTTTATTTAGGGGTTTTTTTTTCCCCCCAACCACACGGTCAGTCTGTATTGTACAAAGAGCTGATTTGGGGAAACATAAGAACAGCCATTATGGGACAGACCAAAGGTCCATCTAGCCCAGTATCCTGTGTTCCAACAGCAGCCAATGCCAGATGCCCCAAAGGGAATGAATAGAACGAGCAATCAAGTGATATTCCTAGCTTCTGACAGGTGAGGTGAGAGACAAACACAGACACAAAGAGCACCAATCCTACCCATCCTGGCTAACAGCCACTGATGGACCTATGGGTTTATCTTGCTCTTTTTTTGAACCCTGCTATAATTTTGGCTTTCACAATATCCTCTGGCAAAAAGTTCCACAGGCTGAATGTGCATTGTGTGAAGACATACTTATTTTTGTTCATTTTAAACCTGCTACATATGGATTTCATTTGATGACTCCTATTTTTGTGTTATGGGAGCAAGTAAATAATTTTTCCTTATCTTTCTATGATTATGCAACTATCATATCTCCACTTGTTCTCCTCTTTCCTGAACTGAAAAGTCAGTTTTATTAATCTCACCTCAGATAGCAGCTAGTCCAAATCCCTAATCATTTTTGTTGCTCTTTTCTGAACCCTTGCCAATGCCAAGATATCTTTTTTAAGATGAGGTAAACTCATCTGTGTGCAGTATTCAAGATGTGGGAGTACCATGGATTTACAGAAACATAATGAAGCCCTGCATTTAAAGTGTAGATCAATCCCCACTTGTGCTGGGAGCTCTGATCTCACCCCCTCCCTCCAGACAGAGATTGTTGCCACCCCTCACTGCTGCATCTGTATCAGCCAGTCCATGAGGAGAGCTGTTTTTTTTAAACCGGCTCCCCTCGTGGACCAGCTCCTGCCTGACACCCCAGGCAGAGTGGAAGGGGACTGCTCGGGAAAGGAGATGGATCACCACCCCCAGGGACTACAGAATAGTGGAGTAACCGATAAGAATTCATTAGGTTAACTGACTATTCAATAAATATTTAAACATTCCTACTATCTACAATAACACCAAGGTCTCTTTCTTGCGTGGTTAATAGCTAATTTGGTCCTAATTTTATATTTATAATTTGGATTATGTTTTCCAATATGCCAGGGGTGGGGAACTTCAGGCCCGGGTCCGCATGCGGACCTCAGTTTGCCTGAATCCAGTCCTGCTCTGCCCCATTGAGGGCTGGAGCACACAAAATATACTAGCTTGACCCCCTCACAGGCTCTGGTGTGGGAGGGAAATATGGGGAGTGTCTTTCTCCTTGTTCGAGGGCTATATCAGCGAGGGGTTTTTTGTTTCTTATGACTGATTTTTCTGAGAGTCCCTGACCCAAAAAAAAGTTTCCCAACCCTGCAATCTGTATTTCTTGGCATTTTTTCCCCAACATTAAAATTCACCTGCCAAGAAGTCACTGAACGTTTCTGTTCCCATCAACATTATCCTGACACAGCAACCTAGAAGTAGCTCTCTCAATTAAATATCAATTTCTAGTTTTTTTTTTATAAAGATCAAGGAAACCCTCATGATTTCACATCTCTCCCATCCCCAAGTCCCATACCTTCCTGCCATTACCCCTGCTGACTCCCCTGTTGCCCTCCATCCCCCAGCTTGAAGTCCTTGTTGCCAGGTGGCAGTAGCAGCCAGCCCTCACTTCATACCTTGTGGCTGGAAGTCATGGGAAACTCAGCACGAGGGTAAGGGCTGGGATCCACAGAGTAACGGAGAACTTACTCAGCTTCCCACACCCCCCCATATTCACAGATTTTGCCATTCATGGTGACATCAGGAACATATCACTACAAAAGAAGAGGGTTTCCTGTACACTGAGTTTAATTAAGTGTCATTGACATACTGTCAGTAAACAGTGAGGGCAGAATTTCTGGAAGAGTTACTAATCAAACTGCTAAAACATAACTACATTTTTCTGCACCCAAGCAGTCACTAAAAGATCTCAGTACTAGTTTAACTAGTACAGGCAAGAAACCTACTAAAGAGGGAAAACCATTAGTGTTGGAAGAGATTAAAGCTTAGAAGCTACTCTTTTAAAAAAAACCTCTGAGCTTTACACATGAAGCACAGGCTACCTTTTGAAAGCTAGAAGTCACACAAAGGTATCACTGTGAAATACTAGGCTACAGCTGGTTGTACACCTCTCTCCAGTTTATCAGAGTGACATGCATATGTTAAGAGCTACCTTGTGCATGAGCATGGGAGTGGAAAAAACTTAAGTTAGTCACACACATGAGCCAACATGCAAGAAAGTGAACTGCTGCCAAACTACAGTGACCCAGTAAAGGCTGCAAGACTCCGGAAGCAACCTGAGGATTTTCTGAGGAAGGAGGAGGGGTGGGAGAGCGCCCCGGCAGGCCCTTACCTTTGTAGAGGTTGGTGACTGCGGTGGCGGCGTTCTGGAAGGGGATCCAAAGGGAGAGCCCCGGCTGCTGGCACACCCGGTCTGCAGGGATGGAAGGATACACACGCTGTTTATTTTGGAGGCACTAACTCCGAACGGCCATGTTAGGTTTCGCCATTTTGTTCAGCCTCCCGGAGACAGCCCAGGACCAGGGTGTGGCTGGCCAGGCCGCGCCCGCTACCCGGAACCGGGATAGGCCATAGCGCTCCGGTACCCCCGGCGCAGCACCCTGCCCTACCCCTTCCCCACAGCACCCACTGCACAATGAGGCCGGTCCCGCGCTCGCCATTTTGTCGGAGCCTCTTCCCTGGGCGAGACGGCAGGAGCAGGCTTCGAGGGCTCGGTCCCGGCTCTCTTCCCCTCGGCTGCTCTGCGGGTCAGCACGGGGGTCTCTCTTTTCCCCTGCTCCGG